GTACAAAAAAAGAAAGGCGAGGAGGGGGGGGGGGGGGGGGGGGGGGGGGGGGGGGGGTGGCTGTCATGAATTTGTTACATTGGTGCCTTCCAGAAATTAAAAAGCAATATGCAGTCTGTTCCCATGCCAGCTGTGCTTCCAGAGACTGTTTTCTGTCTACCACAGACCACATAATTGCCATTTTAAGCTAAGATTTCACTTAATTTACATAGGCTGGGACAGACCGCAGCTGTCTGCTTTTAGCGCAGACGCGCTGCCTGGGTTTGCAGGTCGCAGCATGCGAGCCTCTGCTGCTGTCGACCTGCAAGCTCCTTCATTTAAAATGGAAGATCGTGGGAGAAGCAATGGTCAAGGCTGGTTTGGACATGACTGATCACCTCGGAGTTGTTCCACGCTGAATTCTCAAGGTAGGGCTCACGTTTGGTTTTGCAGATGGATGAGAGCCCTGGAACCCTATTTTTTCTGGCCTCTGCAAATGAAGACTGGACACTTCTTTTGCTTGATACCTTCAGTGAGACTATATGGAAGGAAAACAATTTTCAGGTTCTTGGGAGGAGGTGAGATGAGTGACTCTTGCAGTCAAAATAAAATAAAAATCCTGAGATAAATAATACAATCAACTCAAGATCAGTTGCACATCCAGCACACTCTCCTAGAAGACATAAGATCACAGGTTTGTTTCTGATATATCAACCTACACAAAACTGGTTTCTGATTTATTCATGTTTCATGTGCAAACCTTAAAAAAAAAAATTAATATGCCTGTGCCTCAGTTGCACATGTGCCAAATTGCTTTCTATGAGGAAGCCTGAAAACTTCTGAGTTTTCAGAAGGCACTCAGACCTTGTGGTAGATACTCATGTGTCTACAACTACACCAAAGTAAACAGTGCAGTCCTTAAATGAAGAGCTTATGGCTGTTGCTTCAAAGGTCTTAGGCAAGGCAACATTCAATTGGTTTGCACTTCACTTTTATGTTCCTGAGTAGATATGCAGTTTTAAATGAGTCATTGTACACCCCCAACCATAGTGTTTGTCAAGGTCCAACTCAGGCCAAATTTGGAAGAAATTAACTTCTGTAGCTGGTATCAAAATATGACTATAAATCAATTATCTTAACTTCATAAATAGTGAACAGCCAGCGTTTATTGATCTCTCCTGCAGGGCAGTGGACTGTTTTCCAGGGTCTTTGCTTTGAGTAGTAGCTCTCAAGGTTACTCCTTGGAGTTGAGAGATTCCTTGACTCAAGAGATTCTCAGTAAGTGATTAATAGCATGCTAAACTCTGAAATCTTAGCTAAATGACACAAAAGATTGATTGTGCACACATAATCCTTGAGACATAAACCTCTGACTAAGTCTGGGACTAAGTTTGGAATTAGGCACACAAAAACTCCCTTCCGAGAAGGAGCTTAGAAGACAAGGAGGTCTTTTCTGAACCTCATGACTCAACAGGAGAGTCTTTCTCTCTCTCTCTCTCTTCTCTCTTCCTGTTTTGTCTGACCCTGTCCTCTAGGCCATAGTCAAGTGTGCCTTGTCATCAGATCTTATTAAACCCTTCTCACATTTACCATGAAGTTTGGCAAAATCACTGGGTTATATCAATAAACATATTGCTACTTCTTCCTTTGGAGTCACATCCATGACACACCCACGACTGCTACGCTACAGCTGTCAGAGCCCAGAGCCAGCCCTCTAAGAAAACAACAGGACACCTGGGTTCCTCACAAAGGTTGTACGTAGCCCTAGCCAGGGGTCCTGTGCACTGTGCTGCACAGCAACTGCACTCAGCAGAGGTGGAGCCCACCCTCTGCATCAGATATGCACTCTCATGTTCATGGGGATGGCTGCCAAACCCTCTGGAGCATAGATGCCAAATTCACTTGGTGAACACAGTAACCCATTTGGTTATTGTATGAAAGGAGAGAGGAAAGTTCCTCTTCTGGCTTCTGGATGAGACTGCCAGGGCTGAAGCTTGCTAAACTCAGCATTCTCACCTTTTTTTTACCGGTTTTGTTGTCTGACAGTCTTCTGGCCTCACCTATGGGACTGGGAAGCTTTAGTACTGCAATGACAATTTTCCGAGTTCCACACGGGCATTAGTGGGAGCTTCTGCCTTGTCTGCCCAGTCTTGCTGGGTTCATCTGTGAGTAAAACTGGCTCCATAGAACTTTACTGCAAAAGGCTTTCTGTAACTGTGCCCCACGGATCTGAATGGGCTTCAGTGTATGCTCTGAGACTCACTTTGGTACGGTCTGGGTCCATGAAGAGATTAGCACACCTCACTGAGCTGTAATAACACTTCATGCATTTGAAGTTCCCTGGGATCTGCAGCAGGCTTAACAGTGCTGCACACAGAGCTGAGCCATGGGAGCAGCCTGCAGCTCCCAAGGGCCTGCCAGGACCCACGGGTGCCCAGTGACACTGGCACCTCTCTGAGCTCTCACTGTAACCTGCCTGCGCCTGCCTGCTTAAAGCCATTGCCCTCAGCATGAGGGAAGTCTGCAATATATTTCAGGATGTGCAGGTGAGCAGCCAAAGTTTTGACAACTGTAAGTCTCAGAAAGTCTGGGAGGTGTCTTTTTTTAGGTGGCAAGTTGAAGAGTTGGCGATTTCTTCATGTGTGTCCCGGCAGCAGAGGTACAAGACAGAAGCAGCGTCAGGCTGTTTTGTTTCCCCTTTGCTCTATGCACACTTTGCTCTACAGAACTGCTTTATCTGGGACACCTGCTTGGGACAGGCTGCTGGAGTTAGCTGTTACATCCATCTCCTGACAAATGAATATGACATCAGAGTGACTTCAATTTTTTATAAATATCTAATGCCAATTTGATTCATACGTCAGCACAGCCCTGGAGTTAAAACTGAATGGGATTGAATATTATTCCTGCCTTTTAAGGCTGGTGGAATTTCCCCTCTTTATGGAAGAAACTTCTCACTTATATATTTCACTAGTATCTACCATCACAAGCCTTAGATTTTGTCTCTCTCAAGCCTGCATCCTGTAAATCCCTGTAATTGCATGCAGCTGTTTGTGAGCCATCCGCTGCAAATTGAAAGCATGCATTGAAAAAGCCCCGAGCAGAGAACCTCTAAAATAAGTGCTGAAAAAGCTGCTGATTTACCAAAAAGACCCTCTCTGCTCTGCCCTCCCCTGCCCTACTCTGCTGTCGCTACCTTGCAATTTATGACATCCAGAGAGTGGGAGGTCTGACAATCCGAACAAGGAAGCAAGGAGGAAGAAATTCCATTCCTGTTGCAATCAGTAATTCCTCCGTGGAGGCTGCTTTCTCGGGAGCGTGTGCGAGCACTTTCTTTTGTGTCACTTCAAGAAGGGCTCTGATGTTATTATTACTTTAAATATAGCTTGCCCTGGGGCGGGGAAATGCACAAGGAAAGAGCCGGCAAGCAGCCTATCTCTCAGAAGAAAAGAGCAAGCCTCGCAGTGCAGGAACTGGCTTCACTCAAGTGTGCAGTTTAGAAGTCAGAAAACTATTTGAATTAACACCATTGTGGAGGAGGCTGAAGAAAAAAGACACGGAACTGGCTAAACACAGAGAAGAACATGATAAACCAGGGTGCAAAGTGCATCTATTTGCAGTTTGAAAGTGGGCTCTGAAGTGCAATGTAAGTCTTCCTTAAATTGTATTCTTTTATAACAGTACCTAGTTGTTTAATTTCCATTCCAAAGACATGCTGGGCCAAAAGGTACAATTAGCTACAAAAATCAGCATGGAGCAGAATTTGTAGTCTCTGATATGAGGCTGAAAATGATTCTGAAATACAACAGAAGACAGAGACTATCAGCCATATTATGGAAGATGCACTAAAAATAAGAGCATATTTAATTATTTCAAGAGAAACATGCTGGATGGAATTATTAATCAACTTTCTTAATAGAGAAGCAAGAGCTTTGCTGTTTAATAAGGCAAGCTATTTTAATGCTGCTGTGTTTAAAATTGTGTGATTACAGTTACCAATAGCAATAAGATGTAGCTCCAGAGGGGAGTCCTAGTGGTTGCAAAAGTTTTATGTCTTTTATTTCTCCAACCTTTTTGCTCTATGAAGCCTCAAGTCCACATTCTGTATCCTACAGCCTGGTTTTACTTTTAAGCTGGATTTTCAATATATGCCAACACTGGGCTTCCTATGGAACTGAAAACAAAACATTTCAGCTTTCGGGGTAATTCTGGTATGTTTTTCTACATCACACTAGTGGCAAAAATACAGTCGACAAAAGATTGTGCTCCTTCAACTTCTGGCATGGAGAGTTGAGGAATATAATGCCCAATGGTGACAAAGGGTGATAATTTCCTGTTTTTCACAATTTATCTTTGTGGTTTTGGACTTAGCAATGGATATTCTTTGTGATGGAGAGAGCTCTGTGAACCCAACTGCAAACTCCTTCATACAAATAAATCACGAGAGAAGATTCTACAGAAATGTTTATGGAGCTGGAGAAATTAATATATCACATCTCTGCAACCTGACTGTGAACTCTGACAACCTAACCAATCTTTCATGCGAAAGTAACATGAGCCCACCGTGCTGCCCTTCGCAGAAAAACTGGCCGGCTTTGCTGACAGTGATAGTGATTGTTTTAACCATTGCTGGAAATATTCTTGTCATCATGGCTGTTTCACTGGAGAAAAAACTACAGAATGCCACTAACTATTTTCTAATGTCACTTGCAATAGCTGATATGCTGCTGGGTTTCTTTGTCATGCCTGTGTCCATGTTAACCATACTGTATGGTGAGTATTAGCTGTGTTACCTACTGCATGTATTGACAAGCCTTAAACATTGCATGCAATAACATCTTGTTATTATTATGGTTTCATTCTCTTACCACAGAAAATTGTTTTCACTCCGTATAAGTTTAAATATGTCACTGGTTAATGGATGGAACAGGTGAAGTACTTGAATCTTTTATATTTCCAGCTACAGGCATTTTAAACACAGTCCATAATATTAGTTTATTACTCAGTTGTCAGGTGAATTTTCTCAAAGAGTATATGAAGATGCTTTGTTTTTTCTATTGCTTTCAGGCTTTTTCCCTGGCTCATAATTTTCATATTCCCAATGAGAATGTTGGGTCCTGCCAATTACTTTGCTCTGCAAATATGCACTGAAACACTAATGACTACTCTTAGATTCAAAATAGGCAGCCACCTCAATTATTTTTAATGAAGTAATACAAACGTGAAAAATTTTCTTATCACAAATACCCTGCTTAGGCATCTGCTTACTAGCAAATGCTGGAATAAATATTGCAGGGGTTAAAAAATGGATGGGCATTAATTCTGCCCGTTTTGTAACATTTACAAATGCAAAACTCTCGTTTCTTAAGAGAAGTTATTTAAGTTATTAATGACTCGCAGTTCATGCCCTTGCCGATGATTAATAGCAGATCCTTCTTCTCATTGTCACCACAATCATTTGCAGCACAGCTCACGCTGGAACAAGCAGCACCCTGTGTGTTCAGCACCAATTTCGTCAGGCTGTTACTGACCTGAAGTTCAGAAATTAGTCTTCCAGAGCTACAACTGAATTGCTACAGTTCAAAGAGAAGCTACTCATTGTCAGGAGGAAAGTGAGATTGTTTGGGAGGGTGTCTATTACTTCACTACTTTGGGACTTAAGGTCCAAACATGAGCCTGTGACTTAAGGGAGATTTAATCCAGAAAGCTGGAAGTTTATTTTCCATTTCCAGTATCTCTACAGAGATCGCCCCCAGTAGCATTTGCAATCTGCATTTGGCATCAGTGATGGTGCAACACTGTGATTTACCGTGTTAGTGTGTGATTACCTTTGGCTGGAGAAAGAAACAGCGTGAAACAGAAATTGTCCGATGGGTGAGATTTAAGTCGTGCGTGATTCCCTGAGACAAGCAACAGGGACTCCTGCTGGCCAGGCTCCGCTGCCGAGGGAAGAGACGCCGGCAATCGGTGTCTCGGGCGGGATTTGGGGCTGGATGCCTTTCCCTCCCGGGGGGAGCCGGAGCCCTCGTCCCGGGAAAGGCTGCGCCGCCCTCCTCGGCCGCGGCCGGGGCACAGGAGCGCCTGAAGGCGCAGGGGAGGAGCCGTGTTGGCTTTGCCTCCTCTCTCCCTGCTTCTTCCCTTGCAAGACCAGCAGTGGAAGCAGCATAACTTGGGGTAGAAAATCATCTGGTGGCACGCACTGGTACCAGGAGAACCATCTTGGTGTGGTACACCATCAGCCTCCAGGATGATCAGTGATGGAACGGAGGGAAACCTCCATTTCCACAGGAGCATCTTCTCAGCCACAACTGCTCAACTTCAGCCGCATCACCCTGTTGATAGTCTTGAGCTCAAACTGGAGGCTTTGCACACACCTGCTCTGCCAGGACACCTCCAAGGCTGTGGAACAGGAATGCTCCATGTTCACTGCAGCCCCTTGAAGGAGTATGGCAATTGCTTTGCTCAAAGGAGAGATAATCTTCTTGAGAGCTTAATAGCTACTGTGGGCAGTTCTGGTTTGGGTGCCCAGCCATGCCAGCCATGTGCCTGTGCCAGTCTGCACCCTTTGGGCTGGGCAGGGCTCTCCACCCCCCCAGCAGCCCCAGATTCTGCTGGAAAAGGCAGCACCCACTAAGTCCTGCCAAGGTGGATGTGTCTACAGAGCAGAAAACTTCCTGGAGGATGTTATGTACACCCTTGCTAAGGGTGCACCCTATTGCATCCAGAGTTTTCTCCTCTCATACACTTTCCCCTTTCTCAAATCTGTAGTCTCTAAGGGAGTTTATCTGCCAGATAGTGTTTTATCCCTGCCCCATCCTGGTTTATTGCAAAGATGAGAAGTCTAGAAGGATATGACAAATGTGTTCCCAAAGGTCACTAAAGCAAGAGAACAGATGTAAGTTGTCAAATGTAAAAACACTTTAACAGTTTTCCCTGTGTAAACTGGCCTGGCCTGACAGAGATGCTACTGGGAAGTCATGCCCCTGAAAGCCAGCCATCACATAACACAATCCAGGGAACAGATTGCCCAACAGAACACCAGAAAACATGATAAAATACATCCATAAATGCTGTATGGCTTGTCAGGGTCAGCTTATATTGCAGCAACCCAAGAACCCCAAGAAATTGGTCTCCTCAGTACTCACTGAGACTTAATGTAATTAGGCACAGACCCACCTTCTCTACCTCCCCTTCCATTCCTGCTGCTGCAAATTTTGTACTGTATCTCCAAAGGAGACAGGCACTCCCCAAAATACTAACATATTCTCACAATATGAGCTTTGGCATTGTCCCATGCCACACTATCATGGGCAGCTTGGGTAATATGCTCTAAATTAAATCACTACAAGATAAGAATCCTGATAACTGCAAAACTTGCTCCAATGAGAGCTATTAGTGGTTCCCTGCAGGAATAGAAGGGCTTTTGAATGCGGGTCCTGCAGGGCTTAGCCTGGTCTGCTCAGTACTGTTCTGAACAACATGTCTAGTGTGTGGAGTGAGAGCTGACGCAGCTTTGCAAAAGCACCAAGCTGGGAGAGGTTACAAGCACTCAGAGGGACAGGATGAGAATCATCAACCAGAATCTGGACCCCTGAAGAGAAAGCCTGAAACAGAAAAATAACATTCAGTGAGGGTAAGTGCAAAGGTAAAGAAGAAATCTACTTCTGCTGGTGAAATTTGTCCAGGCTTCAAGAATGCTGAACTAGATCTGGCTGTCAAAACGAACCATGAGATAAACATGCTTCACTAGCATGATGTTTTCATACAAAAGGCACTTACCATTCCAGGTTGTATAGGTAAAGACATTGCCTTCTAGGTCCAGGAAGAAATCTTGCATTTCACTTAGCAGTCAGGAGGCCTCTGCAAGTGTACCAAGTCCTATGTTAGTCGCTGAACGATATACAAGAAGCAGATAAATTAAACAGATTCCAGGGCAGAACAGGAAGAAGGAAAAAGGTTTTTAAAGCATGATCTGTAAGAAAAAGTGCTATGCTTTTCTTAGGTTGGAAGACAAAACAATAAACACAAAACTAGGCAAGCCATGATAGCCATCTCCCAACATCTTTGAGAAAGGAAAGCAACCAATTAATCTTCATAGGTAGCGGAGAGAACAAGGAAAAAGTAGGGGCTTAATTTGCAACAAAGAAGCTGTAGGTTGGATATCGGTAAACACTAATGCATATGCTTTGGATTGCATTCCCTGGAGGAGTCTATCAATATTCACTGGCAGTGGGAATATACTTATTTAGGTATGTGGTAAAGGCTTAAAGACAGGTGAGATAAATATCACTGGTATGCAACAAAATAATTTTTCTTCTTCACCTTCCATTAAATCCAAAGTTTTACTTTCAGAATTAACGCAGCTTTGCATATCAGCAGGTGTTGATAATGCAGTAATTATGTGGATAAAAAGTCCTAAAGCAAAACTGAGAACTTGCAGATTTACAATGACAAAATTGCCTCTCTTTTCATAGATTTTCTGCCAAAAATGTTTAATCATAGCACCAAGCACTAGCATTATGCAAACAGAATTAAAAAGAAAAAACATATGCTGCCTGTAGCCTGGGAAAGAAGCAGAGTTAACCCCAAAAGCTACAGTTAGAAGGCTGCAAACAAATATAAATATTTTCTTAAAACAGTGTCAGGCAGCTTCTAAATGTATCACTTACTACAACTTAGTACTTACTACTACCCTCTTAGAAGGATGTATGCACTAATACACGTGTCACAACAAAAGATCTATGCCACATCTTTAGCTGATGCCAACTTTGTCTTGTGCAGGATACGAATGGCCTCTACCTAGAAAGCTCTGTGCCATTTGGATCTACTTGGACGTGCTCTTCTCCACGGCGTCCATCATGCACCTCTGTGCCATCTCACTGGATCGCTACATTGCCATCCGAAACCCCATCCACCACAGCCGCTTTAACTCAAGAACGAAGGCTTTTGCCAAAATAATTGCTGTTTGGACCATATCAGTTGGTAAGTGAGGCAGTATTTCAGCATGTAATTTCAGATTTCCAGCTTTTGAGAGGATTTGACATATATACTGCAGTCTAAAACTTTATCCTCTGCCTGCAGTATTTTGCTTTCCAGTATAAGAAGTGCTGTAGTGTAGTAATTATGTAATGGAAATCAACGACAATGGGAAATGGAGAATGGAGCAGCACTGAAAGAATATACATCAGTGATAGCATGACTGTATTCAAGTTTATTTTAAAGATGTGCTGATTTCCCATATTGATGCTCCATCATTATCTAAACATCTGAAAAAAAAATGTACTGACTGAAAAAAGTATTTCCTTGTTTTATGCAAGCCAGTTGTTCACAATTTCTTATTTGAGTAATTTGCTTAGAGATTTTTCTCATGGGTAGATTTTCTCTGCCTTTCTCAGTGTGTATGGTGGGGAATTTATGCATCCTGTTTAGGATACAACAGACACTGTGTACAGTGAGAATGAGAGGAGTCTGTCCAGAGGACAGTTCAGAGTTACAGGCTAAAATAGGTGTTCTGGATGACCCAGTATACAAATCTCTTTTTGCACTGGCAAAACCCAGAGCCTTGAAACTAGGCAGGGGACCACTGATCTTTCATTCCCATGGTGGCAGCATGTCCAAAGCAGTCTTAATGGCAGGTAGTTGGGAGATTTTGGTGTCTGATGCCTTCAGGAATTTCCTCACAATTTCCACCTGGGGTGGAAGTTCTCAAGTTCTTTGAAAACACAGTTCCCTTTCAGTGCTTGTGGTTTTGTAGGCCCTTGAGCATTGGCAGCTCACTTATTCAGAGGCAGGAAAAAGTCACTCTTTTGCCCTGGAAGAGATGTGATCTGTCAGCAAACAAGGCCAATTAGCTCTTTCCCTGGCTAATACTAATTATTGCAAGTGGTAACTGTGATCCCTTACCACTCTTCCCAGAGGAGGGAAAGGAGATGATGTCTAACATGCTGCCAGCCTGGCATTCTAAATCATCTACTGACCTCCCTCTTGATCCTGGCCCACAGTCTGAGAAAAAGCAGTCTAGGATTGTTAGGATTTAAAATAGCTGTATCTTCCGCTGCACAGCAAGAAATCGTGGGAGTCTTCACTCAGCAGCAGGATGGTTTTGCATTCTCCATGACCTGATGAGGTTCAACAGCATCTGGCTCTGGGGTGCATTCAGCTGATCAGATGTAAATGTCTAGCACAGGTCAGGTGAGCTCCACCCTAAAAATACCTACTCTCAACTATAAAGGAAGTTTATAGCAACTCAGATGTAGATGTCTTCATCTTGTCTCTTCTACAGTCACATTTTTTTAATCTAGTAGAAAACATATTACCTACTCTGTCCAGTTTTTCCAGTTTTTGAAACTGGTAAGTGCAAGTATTTTCAGTGCATTTCTCTATATACCATAAATAAGTCAAGCATTCTTTAAAATTGCACATACTGTGTTTGTCTGCACTTGTGTTTGGTGCCTCGTGCTTAGTGTGTGTGAAACTGCTGTCCTTTTTGAACACAAATTCACAGAATGATCAGAATGACCACTCCAGAGGCAAACCAGGGGTCCACTCTGCTCAGCACATTTTCTCAGAAAGGTGTTTACTGACACAGTATCTGAGTTAGCTCACTATTAAATGGAATCCAGAAAAAAGTGTTATTTTAGCTCTATTAGCTAGAACACGATTTATAACCTGTAGCAGGAGGTTTATTTCCTTGATAGCCTGATATTTTGTTTCAAAAGTTATGGCTTTTCTTTGCAGTAATAACTAGTAACATATTCATTGTAAAATCACTGTTTCTGCTCTCTGGAGAAACTGTCTTCTAACAGTGAAGAGATGAGTCACAGATGTTACTTGTTATTATTATGGCAAGGGATAGCAATGTGGTCCCTATTTATATAACTCTGAAAAATACAGCTCCGTATTTTATTGGAAACCATTCAAGTGTGGCATGAGTGAAGAGGACACAGTCCTGCTTTACTGCAGCTGGATAAGGTCATGTGTAAGGGAACAGTGGATGCCAGGAAAATAGGAAGGATTATAGGGTTACTCCATCTCATTCATACACTTTGTGTCACCAAAACAGTGAGAAGGTTAAATAGGTACAAATTAACGTCGGCAAGCACATAGATGGGCAGGAATAAAGTGATTCTTGGCTGGTTTCTAGTCTCATGGAGAGACCAGCTGAAGGAAGACTGGCTGGTTTCCAGCCTGGCAACAAGCTATGGCAAATGGGATGTGCTCCAGAGGACAGATAACAAAGAAAACACATAGGAAGGAGCTATAAGATGAGCTGACTGATGAGCCAGTCACTGCCAGGCTGGACTAAGTTTGCAAAATGTGTCAAATGCCAGTATTATAAGGAATCTTGACAGATCCCAGATCACCCATGCAACCTGCTGTTAGGCAGTCATCAACCCTTATCCTCCTGATCTGCCACCATCTAGCTAAGAATACGTAGGGAATGGGTTTCTGAGGGTGCTTTCTATATCACTTACTAACAGGAAATGCTTTCTGGACAAAGAGGTGTTCCATGTATGATTACCAGTCTCCAGGCCCTCAGTGCTACTTAGAATGATAGGGCTACAAATGATTTAACTCTGCATTTCCACTCAGCGAGGGCTGAGAGCTCTCACTGGGATGAGTGAGGTGGGGATGGTGAGACACTGGCATAGATTGCCCAGAGATGCTGTGGATGTCCCATCCCTGGAAGTGCTCAAGGCCAGGTTGGATGGGGCTCTGAGCAACCTGGTCCAGTGGAAGGTGTCCCTACCTGTGGCAGGGTAGTTGGAACGAGATGATCTTGGAGGTCCTTTCCAACCCAAACCATTCTACGATATCTGGCACAGGCAGAGCTGGGGTTGCGGACAACACACCCTCCACAGCACCTGGTGTGGCTACTACCTCACTTACAGATTCAGACCCAAGGTTTTGCTCTCCAACCTCAGAGAGATACCCTTTGACTTCCCCATATTCCTATAGTTTGCAGCTGAGCTCTCATGGAGTATGAGATGGAGGGTAAAAAGCAAGAGAAAGAAATGAAAGATGTTATGTTCCCCTGTGCAGATGTTGATTTTAGCAGAGGAAGAGGGGGGAAACAGCCAACAGTTGTGTGCTGGCAGCACATTTAATCAGTTCCACTGACCATGCAAACAGCTCAGGCTGGACTGAACAGCACTGATGAACATGCAGGGCTGTCAGATGCTGCCTTCCACCACCCTCAATATGGAAACAAACTGTTTAATCTTACCACTTGTCTTTCAACCTTCTGCCTTTTAACTTATCCTTTTTCCACCAGAGGATCTTTCTTCTAATGCCATTAGAATTTAATTTCACTAACAGCCTTTGACTGTTAAAAAAACAGACAAAAAAATTTGTAAGGGATTTCTGGAAATCCAGGAACATTATATCAGCTGGATTACCTTTATTCACCTGATAACTGACTGCTGCAAATACTTGTAGCTGATTTGTGGGACCTGATGAAGCTCTTCTAGTGCTTCCCAACCTGCCTAGACTATAACTAAATTTGTAATTTGTAATTTTCCTTTTATTCACTAAATACACAAATATATTCAGTCAATTTTAACCAAAGGCAATCAGTGATCTTCCTTCCATTGGCTTCAGTGTCACATGGAACATTTAAAACACAGCAGAAAAAAAGCACAGATAGCTTAATTTACTTGACTCCTGAAATCTTGATTTTCTCAGTTTAAAAAATGTAAATTGTGCTAACATTTGTTTTTGCATTTAGTGGAAGAAGAGCATTTAGCCAGAAGCCTTTGTTTCACTAGTCCATGTAATGCCACAGGCAATTGGTTTAAAATAGATTCTAATTACTGTAACAGACTCTAATCGTGTCTTTAATTCTTAAATCATCCCGTATGCACAGTGGCTAGATAATTAGATTATTTGTAGCTGTTGAAGGCAAAAGCTCATTAAATGCTGAAAATTATTCTATTTGTTTTAAAGCACAGAGGTCATTATTGAGAACAGGTGTAAAAAGCCAAAGGATTTCCTCCTGCTGGGAAAAAAAGGAGTATTTTGAATAGAATTGGAATCTATGGAATTGTAAATAGAGCCTATTCTGAAAAATACATGCAAAATACCTTTGAGTCCTAAATGGGCCTAACAAATGCGTTGCTCTGCAAGAGGCCAACAGCACATCATTCCGTCCTTGAAAGGGTAACATAAAAGAATTACAGGCATGAATGTTAAGTCCTTATATATAACATTCCTCAGTTCTTATTTCTCTCTATTCTTCTGTTAATGGTCTAAGTAATGTGAAGTCTGATGAAGCCCAAGCAGTCTAAGCTGAGTTTTTCTCTTATCATTTCTCATTGAGCCTACACATCTGTTCACTGCCTTCAGGCACGCCCCAGTCACTAACAACTTAGACTTATTCAGTACTTTTCATGCAGAAAAAAAAAAGCCCAACATGGATCTGGATGTAGCTGGTAAAGTACCTCCCCACCACATAACTCTAAAATTTTGTCATTGCTTTTGAGGCTTCAAAAATGAGAAATACTGCAGCATATGAAGCAACGTTCTGCAAAGTGTGGGGTGAAGTCAGCTCCAGGTGTACAAATCAAGCCCAGTGCAACTGAGCCCTCAGCTAATTTGGCAGTGTGACATTTTATGCTGACACAGAGGCTTACACCTCCTTCACAGGCAGCCTGCAATTTCTCTGCATGACTTCTTGCTGCCTTACAGCATATGAAGGGCCAGGGAAGCAGCAGGGATTGGGAGAGTTCAACCACCGGTGTCTCTGGATTGTGTTTTGCTGACAGCTTTGGTCTCCTTAGGCTCAGTCTTCTTTCTGTCAAGGACACCTTTCATTTGAAAATCCCTTTACAGTTTTCAAAAGGCATAAACAGCTAATAAACTGCAGGCTGGGAGTCCCCGTCCTGAATCTACTACACATCCATTTCTTCCAGGTGTCATAATTTGCCATTTCAGTCAAGTCTAATTTACAGATGCCTTGGCATAGGAAAAGATCATTTGTTAAA